ATAATTTAAAAATATTGTAAATAAATAACTAGACAATACAGAATGTGGTATTAATTGAGGTGAAAATGGAGAATGTTGACATGATATAATTTTACTATTAGAACCAATTAATGCACTTGTATATTTCTTTCTATAACTTTCTTTTTCTTTTTCAGTTAAATATTTTAAACATTCCATTTTTACAATTTCAATTCCATCACATAATCCAAATATTTCTTCATTACAGATTAATTGTTGTAATGATTTTATTACATTTACTAATGAATTACCAACATTAAAAAACTTTTTATAGTGTGCTCTTGAATCTTTTGCACATGGTTGTGTTTTGAGAAGTTCAATAAGACATATAAGTGCATATACTTGATCATTAGTAAGTCTTCCTGTTTCAAAAAGATGAACTACAATTCTTTTGATATCATCTGTTTTAGTAATTCCAGTCATTAAAGTAGAAACTACTGCTTCATCTACAATAAAACAAACTCTTTTCTTTATTTGTTGATTTAGTCGAGGTGTTGGTGGTGTTATTCCATTATATTGAATATCTCTAATTTCAACTTTATTTAATCTATTAAGACGAACCAAATAAGATATTGCTTTCATTATTTCTCCTTTCTTTTGTAACATTAAACGATCATTTGGATCAATAAGAATTGATACAAGATCTTTAACAGTAAGTCTATCATCTATAATTAATAAAATACGATAATAAATATATTCCATTTTTGTTGTTCTTGTAATAATAATGTTGTCATGAATAATTGGTATAAATGAATCTTTTTCTTCAATTCGAATAATAATAAATACATTTGATAAATATATTTCTTTGTCTAAACAATCTTTTACAAATTTTTCATTAAAAGTTAATTTTCCTTCATTATTATTTGAGTATGTTCTTATTATCCACCATGGTTGACAATCTATTTTAATTAGTTTATTTCAAATAATCACTCTCTTCTAATCTTAAAAGAAATAACAAAACTTGGTTGTTTTACTTCAAAATTAAGTGGAAACTTTCTTGATAATAACTAATGATTAATTATTCTTTATTTGTCTTAATTCCTTTTAAAACTAAATATAATAAAACAAACTTTTCTTTTTTCTGATTTAAATCTATTTGCTATTTCAGTAAATTGATTCCTTGAAACTCCAAGAAATCTAAAAACATCACGAGCAGTAAATGCTGGCAATCTATCAAATGGAAGTCCTTCATTTAACAATTTTTTAATTAATTGAGCATAATATTTTGGTGGATTAAGTTTATCAGAATGGTTTATTGAATTAAAGAATCCAATACCAATTAAATGATATGGATAAGGCATCATCTTTTGAAGACTATATTCCATTAATTTATTGTAATATTTCTCTTCATTTAATTGACAGATTTTACCAAGTTCAGCTTTATATTCAAATTGATTCTTACAATAATATTTAATTGCATAATTTCTATAACTTATTTCATTAGGACAAATCATTTTAATGCTATTATTTGTAACTTCATGATATGATTTAAAGTGATATAATTCTTTCTCTATCTCTTCAATGGTCATTGTTTGTTGACTTTTCAACTCCTTTTTTCTTTTTTTAATTATTTTCTTTTTTTTTTTCTTCTTTTCTTTATGAAATGTTTTTTAAGTTCTCTTAAAAATGTTAATTACTTGTTCACAAAATGCCATCAGTTAAGATTGTTGTATTAGGTCCTCCTTGTGTTGGTAAAACAGCTGTAACCATTCGTCTTGTAAATCATGTTTTTCAACAACAATATGATCCTACAATTGAAGATTGTTTTAGAACAACTAGAAATCTTGATGGGACTGAAGTTTGTTTAGATATATTAGATACTGCTGGTCAAGATGAGTTTGTAAGTGTTAAACAACAATATATGGTAGTAGGAAATGGGTTTCTAATAGTTTATTCTATTATTTCTAAACAATCGTTTGTTGAATGCCAAAGCACAGTTGAAATGTTATTAAGAATAAGAGACCTTACAGTCCCTTGGACGTTAATTGGTAATAAAATTGATCTTAAAGAAAATAGGGAAGTTACTCAAGAAGAAGCTTTGGAGTATGCTAAACAAAAAGGTGCAATTGGTTTTCTTGAAACATCTGCTAAATCAAATATTAATATCGAACATGCATTCATTTCACTTGCAAAACAAATTTTGAAAGTAAGAGGTCAACTAGAAAATCAATCAACTAAAGATAAGAAGTGTTTTATATTGTAACTAACATTAATTTACCTGTTTATTTAAGAAGTAAAATTACAAATCTTTATTTTAAATGAAATTGTTATTATTTATTAAATATGAAAATGAATTATTATTATTCATTATTTATAATCAATTAATTCAGACTAAAATGAATTGTACTAATTAATAATAAAGGTTTAAACTATCAAAACAAATATATTGATTCATTAAAACTTTTGTTGATACTTTCCTGTTGTTAATAATATTTCACTTTAACCAAAAGAATATATTTTATTGAATTTATTTTCTTTCTTTTTATAATAAATCATATGGAATAAAATAATCATAATTCTTTCTTTTATCATTTTTTATTACTTAATAATAGAATATCATAATTGTTCTCTCTACAATTTCATATTAATCTTATTAATTATATCATATTGATGCATTGTTAAAAATGAAATAAATTATCATTTTAAAAATCTTATATATCATAAAACAACTACTAATATTATTGATATAATGTTTGGTTCAGTATAACTTCTTGTTAAAGATATTATTCATAAGATTAATGATCCAGTTGATAGAAATATTATAAGATTTATTAAAAGTATTTAATGAGATGTCTTTTAATTAACTTGTTTCAAGTTTACCTTCAAATGTTAATATTTCTTGAATAATTTGGTAGTTCTAAATATAAAATAGTAATATAACTTTGTTCAGTTTAAAAACCTCAGATACTTAAACATTCACAATAAATCTTCTTACTTCTCTCTATCTTTTTTTCAATAAATCACTTAAACCTTTAATATTTTATTATAAAATGAAAATAATGTTAATCATTATTAAAATTGGTTTATTTCATACAGAATAATGAATTACAATCTATTCAATTGGATCGGTTTTAGCTTGTTTTTTCAATACTGATGATTCAGCTAATTCAAAAAATGGCATCTATAATAATAAGTAAAAGTTTTCTTTCTTTTTATATTCTTTGATGATTGGTTTGGTTTTATAATAAAAATATTAAATAATATTTGAATGATTAAAAATGGATAAAAGAAAGAATATTATCATTGATTAATAAATAAGAAAAAGAATAAACAAACTTTTAATAGTTCTTCACATTGAGGACGTTTTTTAAAGTCAAAGACAAAACATTTTTCAATGAAATCTTTAAAGTCTTTAGAAACTTTAGTTGGATTTCTTAATCCCATTGCTCCAATAGTTGCTGTTTTAAATGTACCTTTAACTAATCCTACTTCTTTATATGGTGGATTTCCTTCAATTAATTCTTGTGCTACACATCCAACACTCCATACATCAACTCTACAATCATATGGCTCTTGTTTAATAACTTCTGGTGCCATATAAGCTTTTGATCCTGCTCTATTTGATGGATTATTTGAAGCACGAACAACAAGTCCAAAGTCAATAACTTTAACTGCATGTGTAGCTGAAAGCATAATATTTGCTGTTTTAATATCTCTGTGAATAAATCCATATTCATGAATATATTGTAGTGCTCTTAATGTTTCTCTTACTAAGAAAGCAGTATCAGGTTCATTAAATCGTTGTTTTGTTTTTAATAATGATTTTAATGTCCCTTGTGAACAATATTCCATTCCAATATACACCCTATTATCAAATATCCAACACCCTTCAAATCCAACAATATTAGGATGTTTCCAATGATATAATCTTGCTACTTCTATTCCTATTTTACTAAATCTTTCATTTGCTCCATGTTTTAATATTTTTAATGCAACTTGTTTACCATCATCTTTTCTTGTAACAACAAATACTTCACCAAATCCTCCTTTACCAATTGATACAAAATTAGTAAAAAATTGTTTTGGATCTTCTTTTTCAGCTATAGTAGCTAATTCTTCTCCATCATCAATTTGTGTAGATTGATGTTTTTTATTTTCAGTAACAGACACTGATGCATCATCAGTTCTTGTTGTCATTGCTCTTTTTTCAGTCATTGTAGCATACCTTTTCTTTGTTGTTGATTTTAATATTTCACAAAGAACTGGAAAGTATTGATCTCCTTCTTCTGGGTAAAGATAATTCTTTAAACATAATTCTCTACATACCGCAATTAAATCATTTAAATTTCCACAAAAGAAATCTTTTATTGGAGTATTATATGGTGTAATAGAATATTGACAACAATATTTACATAATTTTGCTGCTTCATCTCTTTCATTATCATTCTCAAATTTAATTACTAAATCACGAATTAATGAAACAAATTCTAATATTCCTTTAGCTTGTTTTTTTATTGTAACAGAATCATTAATTGGTAAAATAGTTAATGGAATATCTTTAATATTATTTTCATACAAATAAATACCACCATTATAAATATCAAGAACTCTTTTATTCCAAAATGTTTTTCCTCTCTTTTTAACCATAAACGTTTTTTTTAAATTTAATGTCTTAATAATCAATTTTCTATTCTTTAAATATTTTAATATAAAAACAAACATCTAATAAATACTCTTCTTTTGTTATTGGAATATTATGATTTAATGTAACTGTTCTTAATACCTTAAATAATGCATTTAAATCATCTAATGATTGTGGTTGAATAATAACAACAAAATTTTCTCCAATAATTAATTTGATTTTGTTTAGTTCATATCTTGAAACAAAATTAATTGTATATAATCCATACTCTTCTTTAATCTTTCTATGTCGAACTAATCGTAATTTTCTTTCAACAAAACAAATCCAAATCAATCTATATACTAATGGCTGTCCTTCTTTGAATCCAACAGCAACATCAAAATATAAATTATCTACTTTTGTTCGATTCTCTTGAGGTACAGCTATTGCCTTTTCAACTAATTCTTTTGATGTCTCATCTAAATCTCGTTGCTTTTCAGCTTCAGCCATCTCTTTTCTTTTATTCTTAGTTCACTATTCTATTTTTATCATTGAAATTCTGTTTAATTCTATTCATCTACTTCATTTTACTATTTATTTATAGAATTTGTTTTTTATTTATTATTTTTTATTTTTTATTTTTTTTTATTATGAATAACATTTCTCTATTCTTATATATTATTCCTTATCTTTGGGAAAATTGTGGTAACTTAGGTTGATTTAATTTTGGAGTCGTTAAGGGCAAGAAAAGTTCACCAAAACTTAGAGAGAAAATAAAATCTGTTCTAACAAAAATGGACTATTTTTCTGTTTTCGTATTACGTTTGTATTTCATTCGTTTTGTAACACTAAAAACTCAAAAATAAAATATACAATATTTGAATATCTTAAATAACTCTTTTCGAGTCACATTTAACATTAATAAAATCCTCAGACTGGGCTACTCTATTATTAATTTTTTGAAATAAACTAGTTATAAAATAAATAGGTTTTGTTAAACTTTGAATTATTTTTTAAAATATGACAACGTTAATTTAAATTAGATTTATTAACAATACATAATTGGAAATTATAAAGATTGTTTATATTTGTATGAATATTTTTAACTTTTATGGATAAAAAATCACTTTATTTTAAGACATATATTCTTTTCTTTTTTTTAAATAACTAACAACTCTTTTTCATTGAATTTAATAAATATTTAATGAATACCTTCAATTCTCACAAAAAAAAGTGATACAAAATTCATAATTGGTTTAATATAAAAACATTAACTTTGAATTATAAATGAAAGGTTAGAAAATAATATAATTTATTAATTAATGGATTGATATTTTCTTTTATGGTATTCTTTTATTTATTTTGTAATAAGCATTAAATACATGTAAGAGTTGTTTAACGTTGAATTCTAATTTGTCATTATTGTTAATAAACATTAACTTAAGATATACAATTACAAAAATCATCACAATAAATACTAGTCTAAAAGGTAGTTGTTTATATCATTCGATTAAAACAATAAATAGAAATAACTTAAAAATATATTTAGTTTTTGAAAACGAAGAACATAAAAAAACATCCATTTCAAAAAATAACACATCTTCTTCTATTCTGTGGTCTAAACATCTCAAATACGCCATTAAACAATTCTGTTATATTTTCATTATGTAGAGAAGATGTTTCTATATAGAACCTACTTTGAATTCTTTTGGCAACATCATATCCTTCATCCTCTTTCACTAGTTCTTGTCCATTTTCTTTATTTCTTAAATCTGTTTTTGTTCCAACAAGAATAATTGGTGCATTTGGGTTTTGGCGATGAACCTCAGGTGCCCAAATAGTTTCAGCACTACTGAGGGATTTAGGGTTATTAACAGAATAGCATATGACAAAGAAATCAGCACCTATATATAAACTCCTCCTAAGATATTTATAATTTTTCATTCCAGAACATTCTTTTATTACTATATGATATTGATCTCCTCTGTATGTCCTAACTACTGCGATTCCATCAAACATAATAGGGATATAGTCATGAGGAAATCTTCTATCACAATACGTCATTAACAATGCAGTTTTACCAACCTTTGAATCTCCAAGAACAACAATATTTATTTGAAATATGGGTTCTTCTACTATCATATAATAAAATCATTTTTATGAGTTTTTTCTTTTTTTTTTAATATTTGTTAATAAAAATAAACATGATAAAGTAGAATAATAAATTTTCTTTTTCCTTTAAGATTAGTCTTTTATATAAATTATAGAACATTATTTTATTGTCATTTAAATAAAAATAAAAACTAATAAATTAAGTATCAGTAGATCGTGTTTTATCTACTTCTCTTTGTTCAGGTGAGATTACATCATTCACTCTCTACAGAATCTTGTTCATAAGGTACTTCTATATCTCTATATTCACTTTCGTGTTATCCACAGTATTTCATTATGTCTTTCATGTTTTTAAATATATATCTTGTTCTTTTATCATGTTTAGT